TGTCCTCTTCAAGCTACTCGTCCTCGGTATGACGATAAACTACATCCGTAAGCAAGGCCTCTGATCTGGTGGTTTCCATAGTATGGAACCACCTCTTAATTGATGTTGTTCCCAGGTCCACCCTGACCCACAGTGGTAGCACTTGTTAGTGTCTCAGCTATGGGCTAATAGCGAAATCAAATCATGAAAATATAAAAAATAAATTTTTAAAAATTACCAAAATTACATTTTTGATTTTTTGAGCTCAAGGATTTTGGTATTTTGGTAAAGTTCTTTGTTTTTGATTTTGCAGCACCATCCTATTATATTCTAATTATTCAAATCAAGTGTTGCAAATCATTTGGGCCAACTTAGATATGTTGAGTCGTTTTGATGTTGAACCATATTTAGATGAATAGTTTTTTAAATAAATTTGACGTGTGGTGAAAATTAGTTAATTTACAATAATATGAAATGAAGAAATTTGTGGTTCAAATCAAGGGAAACACTACTAGCAAAGATTTTCATGTAAAGGAATATATGCGTGAAGTTAGTAATGTACTATAGGCTTTTTCCTGAAAATTAAACGGTCGCTTCCAACAAGTATTCATCCTTATTTGATCAGTGAAAGACATTAATTATTAAGAGTTCGTTAACGGCCATGGTGTCATATCCCATCAAGATAACGGGAAAATAATAGATTTATTTGTGAGGAGGCAAATGTTGTTAATCCTGTGTTTGTCGATGAGCTTAAGCGTTCAAATCCGGTCACTACTGTGTTCTGAAACTCACCCCAAAATAGAACTATCTCCTCACCGAGAATAATAGAGACTTTATATCCATCCGATCGCACAACTCGTGGCACGTATTCTAGATAGTTTTTTAATATCGTCTGTGAGAAAACAAGGCAAGTAATGCCAAGACAAAGCAATCAGCTCAGATAATTCATCAACGATCCGACTACAAACTTCATTGATTACGTCACAGGCTTTTTTTTAAAAACATTTTTTTTCATTTAGGTTTGTTGATTGTCAGCAAGATAAGGACTGATATTATAGGAGGAGCCTGGTTACCTAGTGCGGTTTCTTGCGAATGGCCTTGTGTCAGACCACCAGACTTCTCCGTATCAGCGTATTTGATATTCCCTTAGAACAACAATGGTTCATGACAAGTTAGCAACATAAAAAGTGGACAAACACCATTAGATAAGAAAAGGCATAACAAAATGTAAGTCTATTTTTTAACAACAAATTTGGCAGGGTGAAGTAGAGGAAGGAATGCAATGTATTCTTGGTTTTTGGAAAGGCGGTCCAACCAAATCTGCACAATATGAGGCTGACGTTAATGGTCGAAGGTTGTTGCGCGCCAAAAATAGTAATGTTGGCGCCAAGTGTCCTTGGAAAAGAAATAGCCCCAAAAATGAGGAGAAGATTAAGTGAAAGAGTTTCCTTCTTTTTGAATAAACAATATAAGGGAGACAACTTTGTCTAAAAATGCCTTTTTTTAGTGAAAGAAAAAAAATCAAAGAAAACTTAGAGACAGAAATAACTCAGTCTGTTGTGAGACATCGACCAAGAAAATCACCAATATTACTGAACTGCAAGGACGTTCGTCGCCCGGAAGAAGTATAGACCGAAAAGGGAGAGATCCAGAAGGTATAAGTACCACGCAGGAAAACTTATGGATTTCTAATTTACTTGTTGTTTAGGCAAGATCTAAGCTCCGTTCGATACTAAGTTTCGTGACGAAATGCTAGTCGCTTTTGGACAGGAGGTTAGGTCCGTTCGATACTGAGGTTGGTGACGAAATGCTTGTTGCTCTAGATAGGAGGTTAGGTCAGAAAGTTAGACACTAACTCAAAATACAACTGAGTTACTTCCCTTGCCCGGTAGCTGGCGCGCGTCACTCCTGAATTCAACATGGTGACGAGCTGCTACGCATGTGGAATTCATGGTTTAATTCCAAACTAATCCATGCTGTTATCAAGCAGTAAATGAATAAAAGTTGCTTTATTATATGTAGTTTCATTCGTTTTTTGTTAATTTCAACAACCTGATATATAACAACAAGTAATAAATAAACAGATGCACAATTAAAAATAAACAGGTGCAAATTTAGAGGTAAAAATATTCTAAATAATAAATAGACAAACACATTGAAATAAACAGACGAATATTTGGAAATACTAAATGTTTGTAAACTTAGAAATAAATGAATAGATACAGACTTAGAAATAAATAAATATATTCTAAGAAATAACTAAAAAGACGCACACTTTGAAATAAATAAACAGATTCACACTTAGAAATAAATAAATATATTCTAAGAAATAAATAAACAGATGCAAATTTTGAAATAAATAAACACTGGTGGATTGTCGAGGATGTCAACTTACCCGATGGCAAGTGGACTCCTAGTTGAATGGACCCGCTCTATCGAATAAAAAAGTAATAAATACAACTGTATTCGTAATAACAACGAATAAGAACTTTATAATCTCATCTGCACCCTATCAATTACT